ATAAATAAAAATAAATGAGATGGAAAACTGTAGGGGAAAAGGAGAAAACATACTTTTACCCTTATCAGGAATCAGAGACTATGCTCCACTAATAAGAGAGAAAGTAGGGCTGTAAAGATGCCCCAGCCAGTAAAGTGGTTGTTGTACAAGCATGGGAGATCGAATCCCCAGAATCCACATAAAAGTACCATGCATGGTTGATGTTGATATGTCTTGTAACTCTAGCATAGTGGACATGGAGACAGGCAGATCCTGGGAGCTTGCTAGTCATCCAGTCTAGCCAGGTGGTGAGTGTCAGGTTCAAGAAGAGACCCTGTCAGAAAAAGGTATGATCGAGAGTGACTGAGGAAGTCACCTCGTATTGACCTCTGATCTTCACACTATTCACACACACACACACACACACACACACACACACACACACACACACACACACATATATACACACACACGCACGCACACACAGAGAAACTCACATGCATGTAAGTGTGTATACACACACAAAAAAGTAAAACAACCCCCACTGTCACCCCCACCTGCTGAAAAACAAGTAGATCTAGCATGGATTAGTGAAAGAAATTGTCTAGATTGGTACAGAGGAGCCAGTGGTATGATGACAGCTCACTAGCCTGTCTAGTCTCACAGTAGTATGGAAGGCTTCAGGAGTGAAGTGTAGAGGAAAAACATTACCTGATGTTTTGAGTATATTAAAAAAAAAAACCCTTATGAATCTATTGGAGAATATAGGAAGATTTAGTGGTCAATACAGAGAAAATTAAGCAAATAAAAATTTAGCAGTTATTACTCTAGGAAAAAAAAGTTACAGAAGGGTAGGCAATCATGTTTTAATATGTAATGTTTATGCTGTTATAATAGAGACTGAATGAAGATTTACTGAAAATTTTAGGGATTGGAGTGGATATAAAGTTTGTAGAAGTGGGACTGGAGAGATGGCTCAGCAGTTGAGAACACTGGCTGTTTTTGCAGACCACCCAGGCTCGAATCCCAGCACCCACATGGCAGCTAGCAACTGTAACTCCAGTTCCAGGGGATCTAACTCCTACTTCTGTCCTTCACAGGCATTGCACGACATGGGTGCACTTACATATATGCTGGCAATACACATGTACACATAAAAATAAAAATAATAAATAAAAATTTTTAAAAGTTTGTAGAAGTAAGTGGAGGTTCATAGATGATGACTGAAAAATGAATTAGTGGATAGGGCAGTATAAAAAGAAATGACTGAAGACTTTGGAAAAGGTTCTAAATTGTGTGGCTATGAATTTTTGTTAAACTTTCGTAAAATTGTTTTTTAACATTGTGAACATACATTGTTTTGATTGAAAACAAAATGGGAAAAGCAGAAAGCTGTCTTTTTTCTTTCTTGGTATGGTGCTAAAGATTGAACTGAGGGCTTGAGCATCCTTTGCAAGCACTCCAGATGTGGATCTATGTCTCTTGGTCCTAATTATGTTTTATTAGAGATTTAAATAATTTAAATCATATTTAGATAAGTTATATGGATTTTTAGACATTAAAAATAAATTTTTATGTATTATACAATATACTGCTAATTTGTGTGTTTTAATCTAATACGCATCTCCTAAAAGAACATTCCAAAATTTAAAAATCATAGATGCCCTCTATTCAAGAACATACAGAATGTTTCATCTTACCTGGCTTTTGTAAATAATTCTATAGATGTAGCCTTGGATATTAGTAAGAAGTCAATGTTTGAAGTATTACATCTTTTTGTAATTTTAACCTTATTAAGTGATGATGTTATGTTACTGTCTTAAAGTTCTTGATAGATCCAAGCACTTATCCTGATATATTAGATTTTTCTGTTTTGTCATTCAGTAGTAGTACTATAACGTGCAGTTCTTGGGCTAACACTTTAAATTTCTTATGGTAAGTATAGCTCACTAAACACTACTCATTACCAAATGAAGCTGTTATCTGGATAATATATCTCGATCGGTTAGACGTTTTAGTTCATAAATTACCATGTTATCAATTACAAATTTCAAATACTGAAATGTAATATTATGTTTACTAGGTTATTGATATTGGTAGTTAGAATGTATAACTTTAAACAAAGAATGTGTCATCTTCATTTACCTGCTATGAAATATGAAACAATAAACAGATACTTAAAAACAGCTGAAGATTTCAAAATGCTTCAATTATAAAGTTGCATGAATTTGCTATTTTTCCTGTTGAAGACAATATATGCACACACATATTAAACTCTTTGAGAGGAATTAGGCTAAATTGAGGAGAAATGGGCTGACCTGAGTTTCCTAGGAATCTTGCTGATAATTATTAATAATAGCTATAGTTCATATCTTTATATATAAGATGAAAAAGCAAGTTATTTTAATAATTTATCCTGATTCTGGCTTTTGAAAAAAAGCATAGCTAATTTGTTTTTACTTGTAGAGTTACCCATAGAGTTAAATGAACAATTTTTATATTTATTATTTATTTATTTATTTATTTATTTATTTATTTATTTATTTATTTTAGTTCTTTGGATATAGGGTCTCCCTGTAGGCCTGTTGGCCTAGAACTCACTATGTAGACCAGTCTGGCCTTGATCCCACAGAGATCCACCTCCCTTTGCATCTGAATGCTGATAAATAGTTTTTTAATAGTTCTATTGAAATATCTCATATACCACTTGATTTACAATTCGTTTGTTTGTTTTTGGTTTGGTTCTGTATTTTCACAGTCAATCTTAGAACATTTTTCATCACAAAAAGAACCTTGTTAACATTAACATTACTCTCTATTTCCCTAATTCTCTCAGATCCTAGGCCAGCCACTAATCTTCCTGTTACTATAACTTACTCTGTTCTGGACTTTTTGCATAAATGGAGCCATATGATAATGTGGTCTTTTGAAATTATGTTCTTTTCATTTATGATACCAATTTCAATATTTATGTTTACTTGTAACCAATATTCCATTCTGTTAACATACAGTAGCTTATGCATTTATCATTTTATGCATATTTGAGTTATTTTCATTTCTGACTATTAGGAATAATTTTGATATGAACATTTGAAGACAAAGGTATTTTCATTTGTTTTTTTTTATTTTTTGTTTTTTTTTTTGTCTTTTTGAAACAGGGTCTCCTTGTGGCCCCAATTGACCTGAACTTGCTATAGAGGCTAGGCTGGCCTTGATCTCATAGAGATCCATGTTCCTCTGCCTCTTGAGCGCTGGGATTAAAGGCATGCACTACTACGCCCAGCTTGAATACAGATTTTTGTTGTTGTTGTTATTGACAGTTGTATGTAGCTATATTTTTTTCTGTCTTCTGTCTATACCTAGGAGTAAAATTATTGGGGGATGTGGTGAACACTGTTTACCTTTTGAAGAACTGTGAGTTTTCCAGAACAGCCACATCATTCTTCAGTTCCTAGAAGGAAGAATGTAGGAATGTTGCAGTATTTTCTAATCTCCAACACTTACTGCCTTTTGACCATAGCCATCCTCTTTGTTGTGAAGTAGTACCATTGTGGTTTTGATATCTATTGTCTTTGTGAAAAATTATGCTAAACTTTTTCATATGCTTATAAGTCATTAGTCATTTGTTTTGGTGAAATGCCTTCAGATTGTAATAATGTGCTTGAAATCAACACATGAATTTAATTATAGATAGTACCTGAAGTATCACTTACTTTCCTTAGGATATGTTTGTTGAAAATAATTTTACTCTTTTTAGTAAAAATGGATTTGTTCTTTTCTTAGTGCTTCACTGGAATTTGGAAATCTAGATGAAAGTTCTTTGGTTCAAACAAATGGAAATGACCTTAGTGCAGAAGACAGAGAGCTCCTGAAAGCTTATCATCATAGTTTTGATGATGAAAAAGTAGACTTGGATTTGATCATGCATCTTTTATATAATATCTGCCATAGTTGTGATGCTGGTAAGCACTGCGAAAGAACTGGAGAAAAATTTATTTAAAAATTAATATTCTGGGGGTTGGGGATTTAGCTCAGTGGTAGAGCGTTTGGCTAGCAAGTGCAAGGCCCTGAGTTAGGTCCTCAGCCCCCCCCCCAAAAAAAAGACAAAAATTAGTATTCTGTGGAAATTTTTCCTTAATTGTATTGATAGTAATACATGAATACTTGTTCTCCTATGATCATATACGAATATATGAAGTCACATGATATTGTTCCTTATAATTAGTTCTGTTGATTGCTTCTGATTTCATAAGATTAAATATTAAAAATATTCTTTTCCAAGGTGCAGTATTAATTTTTCTTCCTGGATATGATGAAATTGTTGGTTTGAGGGATCGCATCCTATTTGATGACAAGCGGTTTGCTGATAATACACACAGGTAAAATATAAAGCTTTGTATTTGTTACTGAAAATTACACTCAGGTACTATAGTATATTTTCTCTTTTGACAACAGATACCAAGTTTTTATGCTTCATTCAAATATGCAGACATCTGATCAAAAGAAGGTATTGAAAAATCCACCTGCAGGTGTTCGAAAAATAGTGAGTGTCATAAAATCTTTTATGTTTAATTTTTGTTATTAATCTATTTTGATATTAATTATAAAGTAATATCCTGTTACAGATCCTTTCTACCAATATTGCTGAAACAAGCATCACAGTCAATGATGTTGTCTTTGTTATTGATTCTGGTAAAGTGAAAGAGGTATGTTGAATATGTTATAGTTTATTTAAATGAAGAAGATTGAGTTCCATTCCAGTAACCACTTTAATAAAACCCGTTCTCTTTAGCAGAAAACATTTTTATAGATGAATTTAGCATAATAAATGCTGTTTTAAGTAAATGAAATATTCTACCTGAAATTCATTATATGGAATATATTTTGATGTTCCAACAAATTAGACAAAAAGAGTTAGCTTCTAGCTAGATGTGGTGGTGTATGCTTTACTCACAGCACATGGGAGGTGGAGGCAGGTGGATTTTTGTGAGTTTGAGGCCAGGTCAGCCAGTGTTACATAGTGAGATCCTGTCTCAAAAAAACCCACCCAATTCCCAGGTGCCCTCCAAAAACTTAGCTTCTACTTAATACTAGAAGGAAAGTAAAGAGTTTGAGTAACTATAATGAAATTCTGTCACACAGTGTGGCAGTTTGATCGCATATATTGTATTTCCCTCCTACATGTGGGCATGGACCATATTCATCTTGTTTATTGCCATATCACCAATGCTTTAAATATGATATGTAGTAGACGTTCAGAAGACATTTAGTTAAAAAGACCCTTGATTAAATAAGGAAAACAAAACAGAACCCTAATAACCAGGCTTGGGAGATGGCTCATTCTGATACAGTACTTGTCATGCAAGCATGAGGATCTGAGTTCCAGTCTTCAGCACCTAGGATAAAGCTGGCATGGCATTGTGTGTTTGTGATCCCAGTGCTGGGGAGGTGGAGATAAGGAGGATCCTTGTGGTTCGGTTACTAGCCAGTCTGGCCCAATCCACAAGCTGCAGTTTTAGTATGTAGGAAGACACCTGCCATGGACCTTTGGCTCCCGTATCCACATGTGCACACACATGAATATACATAAAACTGACAAAAACTTAAACCCGGGTCAACCACATCACAACGTTGCTCTAGCCAACACAGCACATCATTACCCAGTTTTGTGGGAAAAAGTTTTATTGCCTCTTACCTCCTGTCTATTGCTACTTTGAATACTATAATGCTCTTTCAGTAATTATAACGGACTGTCAAAGCTTAAGTTACTATTTGGCCCTTTACAAAAGGTTTGCTTGTCTCTGATATAAATCAAAAGATAACAGTTACTTTTTCAACATTAGAATGCCTAACAATTTTCAGTGCCTGTAACTTTTACTAGATCAAATGATAGAGGTAATTGGTGTTTTAAGGAAAGAGATGATTAAGTGAAAATAAATAATAATTTTTAGTTTTTTTTTTTTTTGGTCTTTTTGAGACAGGGTCTCCCTGTAGCCCCAGCTGTACTGGAACTTACTATGTAGATCAGGCTGGCCTTGAACTCACAGAGATCTGCCTGCCTCTGCCTCCCAAGTACTGGGATTAAAGGTATACACTACCACGCCTGGCCAGTGTGCAATGCATGAATGTCCTTTTTAGGAATGTCAGACTAAAATTTATTACAGATTTTGGTCAGGTTCATGGCAAAGGAAGAATAAATTGTTTACAATAGTATCAATAAAACTGAGTTGGTAAGCCTTTAAATATTTGGATTTATTGGACGTAGTAGTAGGCATCTGTAATTCAAGTACTTGGGAAGCTGAGACAGGAGGATCTATGGTTCAAGGCCAGCTTAGGCTACATTGTAAGAGCCTGTCCCATGAAATTAAAAAAAACCAGGAACTTCAGATTTTTATTGTTCTAAAATGACATATAGGTGAAGGAAATGGGATTTGAGTATTTTAGAGATTAATTTCTTTAGGTATTTATCAAGTAAATTATGACTTAAATATGGTGATACTCTCAAAAGTTACTTTACATATAAAACTAGCAAAACATTAAAGCTAAGTAATTTACTTTCTAAAAATTCTATAAACTTATTATAGAATGATTTTTATTTGTACTCTGCAATTATTTTAAGAAAAGCAGACATCACTGAAGTGTATAGTCTAGTTAGGAATGTATTTTGAAATATTTCTCTAAAGTAGATTTTATTTTAGGTTCTTTGAGGCAGTCTGAGGTTACTAATAGTTTCTTTTTGTATTTTGCTTTGTAACATTTAGGATAGGCTAGCTTTCTTGATAACTCAGCAGGGGGTAAGGCAGAAAGGATTAAAAATTCTCTACTCTAGGATGTTTGGTTTAGTAATTATTACTCCCATTTTTCCAAATCAGCTCACTGAGAAGTATGTCAGTAAATGTCTTTTTCTAATCTTACTCCTGTATCTTAAAATGATGTAAATGTGCTAGAAAAATGATCTTCAGAGAATAGATTTATTTTTAGTCTTGGCGTCTCTTGAGAACCAGTTGCTTTCATTAAAATGTAGAGTGAAAATAACTTTGCAAAGCACAGAATGGGAAATTTTATAGCTTTTCTGAATTGAATTTGCTTTTCATTCCTTTTCCTTAGAATGTTTATAATTAGAAAATTGGGATTTTTAAGAATTGATATGTTCTAATTACTTTTGTTTGTGTTTTAATCATTTAATCAAGAGGAGTCTTTTAAGTTCAACTTTGCATGTTAAAATATATTGATAGCATTTCTTATTTCTTCCTAAATACCTTTTATAACATAAAGATGTTTTAAATATTACAGAAATCCTTTGATGCACTGAATCTTGTTACAATGTTAAAAATGGTATGGATTTCCAAAGCTAGTGCTATACAGCGAAAAGGCAGGTAATATACGTTTACTGTGCATTTGTTTAGTTGCATGTGAATGCAAATATCATATGAATTACATATTTCATGCATTTTACTTTTATAAAATGTTACCTTTCACATTAGTCTTAATTATTACATTTTGTCAAGCAAACCATTTTGGTATGTAAAAAATTAATTAAAAAATTTTAATCACATTTGTGCGTGTGTGTGTGTGTGCGCACGCGCACGTGCGCACGCGCTTGCTAGCTTACTTATGTGCAGGTGCATGCATGCCATGGCACATGTATGGAGCTTAGAGGGCACATTTCAGGTGTTGGTTCCCTCCTTCTACCATATAAGTCTTGGGGCTAGAACTCAGGTCTCTAAGCCTGGTAGCAAGTGCTTTTTTTTTAAAATTTAATTTAGTTTTTAGAAGAAGCATTTCATTACATCTTTAACATACTCAATAACAGTTTCTGCAGGTGCATGCATGCCATGGCACATGTATGGAGCTTAGAGGGCACATTTCAGGTGTTGGTTCCCTCCTTCTACCATATAAGTCTTGGGGCTAGAACTCAGGTCTCTAAGCCTGGTAGCAAGTGCTTTTTTTTTAAAATTTAATTTAGTTTTTAGAAGAAGCATTTCATTACATCTTTAACATACTCAATAACAGTTTCCAGAGCAAAGATACATCTCTTTCAAAAGTGGCTATAAAATTTTTAGGTTTGCTGTTCAATGAATACAGTTACACAATATTGAACTCAGTATAAGCTCTGCCTCTTACAATCTTTCTGCCCCTTCT